GGGCTGGATTCAAACCCGCCACCTTAGGTGTATGTGGCTGGTACCTTAACCACTTGAGCCACAGGCGCCAAGCCAGGATCTGCCTTTTCAGTCTATCCATTTTAGTAAGAATATCTTAAGAATTTCAAATGGGAAAAAGCAAAATGAAAATCCAAATTCAAGGCCCAAGGCCCACCCTAGGAAAGGACTTTCTGATAATAGGAGGATCACTTGTGGTGGGAGTTCAAGACCAACCTAAGCAAGAGTAAAGCTCCATTTCTTTCTTTCTTTTTTTTTTTTTTTTGAGACAGAGTCTTATGTTGCCATCGGTAGAGTGCTATGGCATCACAGCTCACAGCAACTTCAAACTCTTGAGCTCAAGTGATTCTCTTGCCTCAGCCTCCCTACTAGCTGAAGCTACAGGCACCCAGTACAGTGCCCAGCTATTTTTTATTTATTTGTTTGTTTGTTTGTTTGTTGAGCAGATTCCGGGCCTGGTTCAAACCCACCAGCCCCAGTGCATGTGGCTGGCACCCTAACCTCTGAGCTACAGGCACTGAACCAGTGAGGCTCCATTTCTACAAAAAATAGAAAAATTAACTGGGCATAGTGGTGGGTGCCTATAGTCCCAGCTATTCAAGAGGCTGAGGCAGGCAGATCGCTTGAGCTCAGGAGTCTGAGGTTGCTTTGAGCTACAATGATGCCACTGCACTCTAGCTTGGGTGACAGAGTAAGACTCTATCTAAAAAAAAAAAAAAAAAACAACTTTCATTGGTGGAAAATGTGGTTAAATAAATGTTACTGTCTTAAAAGAAGGTGATATTTGTAAGAAATATACTTGCATGGATAAATCATGTGAGACGTTATGGTAAAAATAACTCCTTCATCCTTTCATCTTAGAATTCAAATTTTGAGAGTATACAACAGACTGCAAGAAGCATTGCTGAGCAAGCTCATGAGCTGGCCTATGACCCAAATTATATGTCACCTTTTGCACAGTTTGCATGTGACAATGGATTGAATGTGAGAGGTAAGGTTTCTTTGAACAGGTCATAGGGACTAACTGAGCACATCATGTCAGTGGAGTGGGAACTTTCTGGGCTCTGAGTGAGACTGAGTAGGTGTCCTCTCCCAGCTTCCCAGCTGAGTACCAGTGGCCTTGAGCAAGGTCAGGAGAGCAAGTGCACGTGGTCATGTCTTCCCCTCAGAGGGTGCCCTTCAGAACTGGACTTGATTGGCTGCAGAGGCTGGCGGAACCTGAAGCCCTTTATTGCCACCTCTACACTGCTTCAACCGGAGCCCACAAGGCCTCCACCTCTGCCTAGAGGGCCTAGACATTCCTAATAGTTTAACATTCTGCCCTTCATGTGTCTGACATTATGTTTCTCCCTTCCTCTGGCTTTGTGGGACTCGCTGGCAATATTTGCCTGCCAAATTGCCACAGCAGGTTTTGAAAAGGGCAGCAATGTGAAACTGTCCTTGACCGAAGAGTCCTTCTATCTGCTTACATGACATGTGACTTTGGGAGCAAGCCAGTGGTTCAGTCTCAGGGCAGGGTGACATGTTGGTGCTAGCATATCAGAACTAGTAAAATTGGTCAGGTTCTTCCTGATGTAATATTTTAACATGCAAAACATTTCTTAGCCCTCCAGAAAATGTTAAAATAGAAAAAGGCACATGCCATAGCTGTTTGGCAGATTAGAATACAAGGCTATTCCTAGTTTCAAAACATTGGATATATTTGTCCAAGTTAGGATTGTGGGTAGAAGCCTTTAACTTTCTTGTCAGATTTACTGTAATTGATGTAAACAGAGGATGCAGTGGCTGTTTTATAATAACAAAGTTCCTATTCTAAAGGAGCAGGAAAGTTGTTTTTTTTAAGCTTCCACTAAAATAACATGTTGTTTCTTGGTGTTTTTTGTTTAACCATTTTCTTTTTCTACTAGAGTATATTGACAAACCTAAATTGCCTGAAATGCAAGCATCTGTCTCCTAGTACTTATTTAAGCCCACATTTTTTTTAATTGATGTTTTCTTTTAAAATATACTGATTTATCCATTGTAGGTGGAAAGCCAGATGACATTACCGTCCTTCTTTCAATAGTGGCTGAATATACAGACTGACTCACCAAGCTGTCAACTACTGCCTTTACTTTCATCATCCTAAATTTCCCCTGCCACATGTGCTGATCCTGCTGGCAGGACCACGTTTCTTTGCCACTGATCTCAATGGCCAGTGATGTAAGCCTTTTGCTTGTCTTTTTGAGACCCATTGAGATCTTTGTTGAAAACCACTACTGTCATTCACTAGCTCATATCTGCCGGCAGCAATTGAAGAGAATCAAGATTTGAAGACTGGCCTTCATTTCTCATTGTCCTTTCCATGATGGGGATGGAGGTGTTCAAAGGCACCATGGCTATTTATTACTTTTCAGAAGTAGTTGAAGCATTGAAAATTAGTAATGCTGATAAAGTGAATTCAAAACTACAGTGTGCTAAAGGGATTTTAAAAGTCTAACAAATCGTACATAATTATACATCTACTAGAAGCATATGTTATTCATCAGAAGAAATGTTACACGTGTTACTCCACAGGCATAGTCTTTGTTATGATGATTGGGTGTGGCTTTATATTTTCATTATAAACTCCTGTTTTTCAGGGGCTTATAATTCTGCTCTAAAATACTTCTCTGGGCTATAAAATTTTGATCCCAGGAGCTTTTTTGTTACAGATTAGGAGAAAAATTCATTTGAGTTCTATGGATGAAAATATTTCGTGCTTTTTTAAAAAAGTGCTTAATGTTCCTATGAATAAAATTTTGGCAGTTTGTCAGTTAGTCTAAATCACAGGTTATGGCCTGTCCTCCAGGAGGGGTGGGGGAAACTCTTGACCAATATTTTTTATTGGAAATATTACTTAAGATTATAAAACTCCTCAAAGCCTAGAAATGTTATGGCTAAAATTCTTCCTTGCTGTCTGTTAGGATGCCATTGTATGGGAACACTAGGCCCACTGCTTGAGAACAGACAGCTGTAACTTTGAATTTTGTTGGCTTTTAATGGTCATGCTACCTACCCACAGTCTTGTTCTCAAACCTTTTATTAGTAGCCTTGCTTTCTATAGAGCATGCACCAAATCCCACGAGTCCATGTAGGAAAAGCACTGTGTGCACTGGCAACAGCACAGAAGTCCATGTGCAAGACTCCTAGTGATGATCTGACATTTGCAATTGCCCCAAACAGAAATTTAGGGGGTTCTGAATCAAGCTTAATGTTTACAGTATCCAAATAGCCATTTTGCAGTGTATAGTTTTCTTATAAAACTACCCCGCATTCGGTTTTCCCATTATCTGCAAGCTCAAACGTATTTTTAAGGTTTGTGTACAAGTTGACTGCTGTAAAGATATATATTTTTGGGTCAGTTTTTTTCCTTCATTAACTTGGTAGTAGAAAAATATATATACTTAGAAATCCTTAAATTAAAGCCATGTTTTATATATAAGTCAGGTAACATTGGTGTATAGATGAGAATGCAATTAAACCTGATAAGAATCTACTTGAGGAGAATATAGAAAGTTTTTTTCTCTAAAGGAGATACTGACTCCCTGGTTTATTGCATTAAAACTTATGTTTGAGGTTACCTCAACTTGTTTTAAAAAGATTTTGTTTTGTGAATTTGTACTGTATATTTGAGTAACTGTCAAGCTTTTGTTTTATTTAAAATTGTTTAACATGTACCATGTACATGTCATTACTATATTTCAATGCATCATGCTTGTAACAGGCATTTCATTTATAATAAGAATGAGTTATTCATTTGTAAGCCGTTCAGTAATTTATCTACTATTCCTAAATTGGCATAATGTTAGATATCTATTTTGAATCACCTTTAATTACATGTCAGAATGCCTTAACTACCCTAACTTGACAAAACAGAATTCTTTGGTAGAGGAGATGGGGGGGGTGGGAGAGGGGATATGGAGGGAGACTATATTTAATAAGGAGAAATCATCATGCTATGATAAAACATGGAAGCATGAGTGGCAAGTGGCGGGGTATTTATTTTGCACAATTTGCGGTCTCTGTGTATTTAAAAAGTAAAGAAAGTTGCATCCAGAGGGTTTTATTGGAAGGAATACATTTATATTAGGACTGACAACTTCCGCTCATTTGAGTTTTTATAACAGTTGATTTTGATCAGAGGTTTGTAGCCTTACTTGTGATCTGGATATATTTTGCATTCATTATTTGATGCCTACATTTAATTCCTGGCAAAAGCAGAGCTGGTCAAGTTACTGATGTCTGTCTGCTCTCATTTAACCCATCAAACACAATCTTTGTAAGCTGGTGGTGTTTTACATAACTCTTTTAATCAACTTTTTGAGAAATGATTGTTAGAAATCAACATTGTGTTCCAGTGACACTGAAAATAGTGGGACAAGAATTGAGTTTCACAGTGGAATTAACTTTAGACCTGATTTATAGATTAGTGACATAAACATATTTTCTCTTATTTTCTTTTTCCCCCTGTCCTTTTTGTGTTGTTCACTTAATTTGATGACGGCCAGGTGTCAGCTGGAGCGCTCCTTAACAAGTAACTCCTCCTACTCTCAGTGGTCAGAGGCTGTATTGGACCCATAGTAGAATTTTCCAGATTACAGACCCAAGTTTCCATGGGGTGTGACTCAGATATACCACTTGGTAGGTCTGATTCTGAACCCAGTGTGTGTTAATTGTATCTTAAATCAAGCAGTATGCATGTGCACACATATACACACGCGAATAAACACGAGAGCGCATACACACATCCTTGCCTCATGTAATGGACTTTTATAACAGAAGAGAAAATTTGGATTTCTAAATTACAAATGGCAAATTATTTATCCCTCTCTGGATGCACCAAAGACCAGTAAAGTTTATAGCTTTTCCATCTATATTTATAAAGCAATACTGTATTATAAAAATCAATATTTTTATCACATGCTTGAAGTTTTTATTTTGTTCAGTTTTAAAATGTGCACTCTAAACATATCAGAACCTTATTTCTTCCTATGAACTTAAGCTGCCTGCGCACAAAAAAAAAAAATTCTTACCAAATGGAGATACAGTAGAGACCATAGGCTCTTAAAAACTGGAAGAAGAAATGAGGGGGGAGAAAACAAGTTGTTTGTCCTGAATTACTGTACTCGCTTGACATGGTTGATGGGTACTAAATCACAAAAGAATCCATTCCAGGTGTAAATGTCTGGGGGTTGGGCTGTGTCTAGATTAGATACTCGATTTCAAGCTTTGCATGATGGGAGATCTTCCTCTCCTATCAGCTGCTTTTATTCTGGTTAGTACAATAGCCTGAAGATGGAAACTACTTAGTACCACCAGCCCATTATATTTATTAACAAGGCAGGAATCGGAATTTACTGAATCAGCTTTGAGTGTTTGGGAATTGTAAACAAGATTGACTATAACTGTAAACGTTTGTACTTTTGGATAAGTTCATGGTTCCTCGTCACCTTATACTGGCTATCTTTGTTAGAAGCTACAGCATTCAATTTCTCTGGAAACTATCACATTTTTTGCATTTAACCAGTTTTACAATATCAACCAAAATCTGCTCATAAAACAAAATACGAAGCAGAAAATATTTGGATTCTATTTGTTTAAAAAATTAATTTCTTTTCAAAATTGAACTCAAGTAAAAAGTATCCGTATCAAATATCTTGACTGTTAGCAGGTAGTTTGTAGCAAAGATGGCTAAATAATGAAGCAAATTTAAATCTGTGTATACTAATGAGCTGCTTTTTTCTGTTGAGACTATCATTATTTGTCTTACCCAAGACGCAATTACCTGAATTGGATGTCTGAAATATAAACTTATGCAGGAATAGTTGTGTAAATACATTTAAATAAACTGTAAAGATATTTAATAAATATAGTATTTATACTAATCTGTATAAATCTTTTGGTCTGCATAGTAACTAAAGACGACACTAGCCCTTGATAGAGTTTGTTGGTCTCTATCAAGTCCTCATTCCAAGCTTCCTAGTTAGTCTAGCAATGAATCTTAACTTCAGAACTGTCATTTTCGGCTCGGCGCC